GAGGAAACAAGCCACCAGGTCCAGGACTCAAACCATGGTTGGCCATGTGGGAGCCCAGCACCTAAACCACCATGCCTCCTGCTAGCCCCAGGCTGTGTCCTTTTAAAGCCTTACCTCTCTGACTTTCTCCTGCATCCATCTGACTTCACCCAGGAAAAGGTTCACGAAGGGCTCATGGGATTAATTTGGACCTCCCTAGTAATCCACAATACCCTCCCCATTCTTAACTAAGTCACACTGCAAAGCCCCTTTGGCCATGTAGTCTAATCTATTCCCAGGTTCCAGGGAATACTTGTGGATGTCTTTGGAAGCCTTTACTTTGCCTACCACAAAGCACATCCTGTATGAACTAAGCTCTTTGTTTTCTTTTTTTTCAGAAAGAGATTTTTGCTATAGAATGTGTGTGCTCACTAGAGAGACAGAGACAGAGACACAGAAAGCAAGAAATCACACACACACACACACACACACACACACTCACACGGAGAAATGGCCATGCCACAATCCCTTCTCCTCTATTCTCCTTTCTGGATTTTGGACATGCACACAGATGCACTAGGCATGCATTTAAGCTGCTGGGTTTGGGACTCGAACCATGATCAGCCATGTAGGAGTCCACTGATGTAACCATTACACCATCTGCTAGTCCCAAACTAAACTCTTCCATAAAAAAATCCCTAAAGCTGGGCTAGAATAACAGAAGGTGGAAGAGTCCCCACACAACAGCCGAGGTTCCTGCAAACAGACGTGGGACAGACATTTTCAATCTTGCAATGGAGAAAAGTGCTATTGCTCTTCCCCCCCCCCAGAGGATGCATTGCTTCGCAAAGAGAGAGAGAGGTAGAGAGAGAGAGAGAGAGAGAGAGAGAGAGAGAGAGAGAGAGAACTCACCCCTCCCAGGGGCACAGTCACGCTGCAATCTCTTCCATTCTCCGCCCAGGATTTTAGGCGTGCTCGCACACGTCCCTGGGATATTTCTCAAGCCACCAGGTCCGGGACTTGAACCGCATGGTCAGCTATGTGGGATCCAGCCACCTCACCCGCCAGGCCCCGGCCAGCCCGCTGTTGCTCTGCCAAGCATGCAGGTAGACACACCGTGTGTGAATGTCTGCACAGAGTTCTCTGCACAGCAGGAGAGAGTGCAGCTAACGCTACGGGGAAACAAATCTTGCCTTGCAGCTGGTGTTTTATGGGCTCCTGTAAATAATTGATGGGATGTGCTCTCTGATGTAGTGAAAATGCCTCACGGTCTGCCTAGCAAAGCCCTTCAGCAAGTGTTCCCAAACATTCACTTTAGTTCTTGACAAAACAATAATGTTTGGGGGGAGCTGGAGCCATATTTCTGGACAATTGAACAATTTTTTATGACTCTTTCATTAAACAATGGGCCTAAAGATGTTGTTCCTCTGGAGATCGGTAGAGTGTAATATCGTTCTAAAACTTAACCATCTCTGCTGCCATTTCCATTTTGCAGAAAATGCCACTATTTTAATGATCTATAATGTTCTTTTTCTTTCCATATTGGTGAAGAGCAGCCCACGTGGTAGCATAATTAATTTTTCCTTTTTTTTTTAGAGAGAGAGATTTTTTTGCTATAAGGCACATGCACTCACCAGAGAGACAGCGAGAAATCACCCCCAGAGGGGGTAGCCACACTGCAATCCCTTCTCCTCCATTCTCCTCTTGGGATTTTGGGCACACACACATGTATGGCGTGAGTTTCAAGCTGCCAGGCCTGGGACTTGAACCAGGGTCAATTGGGCGTCCAGCACCTTAAGCGGTATGCAACCTGCTGGCCCCAAGTAGCATAATTAGTTCATTTAAAGGACATTTGATGAGCCTATAAGAACCACAGAAAATGGTGGTTGGCAACAGCAGGAACCAACCCACGTGAGGCATGTTGGCTGTAAATTCTCGCACACCTGGCTACCTGGGCTATGCACTAAAAACTCTGAAGCATACTGATAACCCCAATCCATCAAAAGCACATTTTTTTTTGAGAGTTTTTTTTTTTTCTGTGATAGGGCGTGTGCGCTTGCCAGACAGACAGAGAGAGACAGAGAGACAGAAAGCGAGAAATCACCCCGCAGGGGGGATGACCACGCTACAATCCCTTCTTCTCCATTCTCCTCTTGGGATCTTGGGCATGCACACACACGCGCCCGGCGTGAGTTTAAGCCACCAGGTCCAGGACTCGAACTGCTGTTGACTACATGGGAGTCCAGCGACACAGCCATTATGCTAAGTGCTGGTCCCTCAAAAGCACATATTATTTTTCATGGGGCATGTGAGTTCTATGAGGGAGTCAGCTGTTAACCTCCTCAGCGAAAGACTATAGAAATGACTATACTCCTTAGAGAAAGCCTGTCTTTGTTTAAGCTTGCTTAAATTAACTTTTTCCCCCCAATTAAGTTCAATAAAATGGAATACCATTCCAGCTGGCTGTTCCAAACGGAACTATTTCAGAAGACAAGCTGTGACTTCCAGCTGAAGCGAGATTGGCAGAGAGGCCAGGCATCAGGAAGTCTGCCTTTCCAGTTTCCCCACACTTCGGAGAGACTTTTTTCTCTTCCTTGAGAATCCTTCAAGAGGGTTTTACAGGACCCAAGATGATTCACATCCTGCAGCTTAGAAAGGGCAACACTAGAGCTCTCCCTTTCAAGAAAGGGAGAGCAGAGAGGATGGCATTTCCATAGGTCACAGGGCGGGCTCCATGACGGAACTGCGTTTCCACGGGCACCTGCTTTTGCGAAATAGGACTGCCAGATTCTTCGGATGAAAGGTCCGGGTGTCACCCAGCGGAAACACAGTGGTCTGTGAGGACGAAGCACGCAGTAAGGTTCCGTGTTCGTGTCCCGAGGCCTCTCAGTACATTCTGGGCACACACGTGTGCCCGTTGTCCTGGCTGGCCGAGGCTGTGAGTGGATCAGCGTGGGAAGACCTCATTGGGGGAGTTTCAGTCATCGCTCTCTCTCTC